TTTCTGTTTCTAAAATAGAGATGCATCTTACAACTGATGTCAATTTAATGTAGTTTTTTTTTTTTTCCTGTTTCTCCAAGGGTTATTTTTATACCAAAGGTTTACTTTGTAAGGGAGGAAATAAGATATCTCCCTATGCTGTTGGCTTCATCATACATCCAATTGGCCTTTTCCTGGCCTCTTGCAGCCTTCTTTTTCTCATATTGCAGGCATGGCATTTTTAACGTGAAAAATGTACATTAGTCGATCTGGCTAATATGAAGGAAGTCCTCAATTCTGGAATGATTCATTGCATAAACTTGAACTAAAAGGAGCCACATGCTCAGAGCAAATATTCCCTTCATTAAAAAATAAAATCTTTTGCAGCTGTTTATTTTCATCTTAAATTGGAGTTTTGCTTATGCTAGGCAGATTTTTGCTAGTATCTTCAGTGCCTCTCTGAGCCCATTTCTGTGGTTCATGAATCACAGCTCGTGAAGCCGGGTGCAGTGCACAGAGCATCGCGCTGCGTGAACCCTCTCTCCATGTGCTACTGTTCCTTTTCCCTCCCACCTTCCTGTCTTTTAAAATTTATTACATTTTCTTACTTTGCAGCTCAGAGGAACACAGGCTTTTTCCTGTAAGCCAGTTTCTTTATGATCACTCTAAATCTGGATGTAGCACACAGCAGTCGGGTCGTTGTAATACAGTTTCCAGGATTCATCGGGAGGTCTAGGCTGAGCCTGAGCCTTCAGCGCATCCATGCTGATTGCTAATGGTCTATCCTTCTCAGCTTTGGCTTCTCCCCTGCTTCTATAGGTCGTCTTTGGGTTGCTCATTAATCGGCCTGAGTTGCCACAACCACTGGTAACTATGGGATGACTGAAGTAAACAAGCCTCCTTGTGTGTCTAAATGAGGTGATAGTGTAAGAAAAGTTTCCAAATTAAGTTCACGTAAACTTAATTTCTGGCTCCCTTAGAGTCATCAATTAAATCAGACTCTCTGAAGGTGGAATCCAGGCATCTCTGTTTCAGATCTTTCTGGGTAATTTCTAATGGACATTCAGGGTTAAGAACTACTGACGTGCTATCGGGATGCAGGTCTTTCTGTTAGATTGGTGATCAAGCTACAATCCCATCTTTTGTATCTGAACAAACCTAACCAGATAATAATAAATCTAATTAAGTGCCTTATGAGTCTCTCATTTAAATTCTGTTTGTAAGATATATACATACATACATATATATATAACCTGAAAAGTTAAAATGATAAATTTTAGCTAATTTTTTAGAAAGCAAGGGAAGAACATAGTGCAATAGGGAAGGATGCCATTATATCAGGGTTTGGCAAGGAATGCATCCTTGCTGTGAACTTTGACTGATACATTGAGAAAAGGGCACAAACATTCCTTGGAACTAGCAGAGATATGATATAATTCACAGTATAAATGAATTCAGCATGTAATGAAGTGCCTTATGGTGGAATTTTACTACATTTCACATTTGGAATTCGCCCTTGACAACTTTTTTGCCTAAATTTAGACCACTGAAGGATTCATTACAATATAATTAAATTAAAATATAAAAAGAAAAAAAAAACACACATTTGTCAAACATCATTTTTCAAGCTGTGCTCTTGCACTTACAAGAATCTTCCTGAATACTGTAAGTTAATTGGCTGAAATATTAATTTGGTCTCATATTGATTCTTTTTGGTCACCATTCACAATATTGTACTAGCAGCAGGAAATAGAAAATACTATCTTCAAGAACTTTAAAACAAAAAAAGCCAAACCCGTTGCCATCAAGTGAATTCCAACCCATAGCAACCCTACAGGACAGGGCAGAACTGCCGTATTGGGTTTCCAAGGAGCAGCTGGTGGATTCAAACTGCTGACCTTTTGGTTAGCAGCCGAGCTCTTTAACCACTGCGCCACCAGGGCTCCTCATGAACTGTAGTGATTTTTAAATGTAGCCAAATAAAAGCAATCCCAAACCAGCCTCACAAAAAAAAAAAAAAAAAAATCAATTCTTTTTTTTCATTTAAAAATAAATATTTTTGACATTCAATTGCCATAACTCAATTAAAGAGAATGGACATGATAATATGGCATATAAATAAGAAGCTTTTCTTACTGTAGCTACTGTTTTGTAAACTTTAATATACCCCATAACTTTTAGCATAGTATTGGAATTAGAAGACATTCAATGAAATAATTTTCCACTTGACACAAGCATTCTGCAATCAATCATGAAGTAATAGAGAAGGTAAACCCTAGTTTAATACCTATTTACCTCAGTTTCATTCTTAGGAAATATGCTGATAAATATAGGAAAGAATTTAGAGAATTCAAATAATTTAGTAACAGTTTATTAAGCAATCATTATTCACAAACACTGTGCATAATAGGCACTCAAAACATACTGATAAAGAATAAATGTAAGACATAACTTCTGCCCTCTATGAACTAGCACTCTGGTCAAGGGAGACAAAAACATAGATACCAGGTTCTGCATGAGCAAAATTAAGTGTTCTGGAATTCCCATTCTTCACAATGTTATTGATAATTTGTTATGATCCACACAGTCAAATGCTTTTGCAGTCAATAAAACACAGGTCAAACACATCTTTCTGATATTCTCTGTTTTCAGCCAAGATCCATCTGACATCAGCAGTGATAGCCCTTGTTCTGCATCCTCTTCTGAATCCGGCTTGAATTTCTGACAGTTCCCTGTCGATGCACCACTGCAACTATTTTTGAATGATCTTCAGCAAAATTTTACTTGCATGTGATACTAATGACATTGTTCAATAATTTCCACATTCCGTTGGATCATCTGTCTTTGGAATGGGCACGAACATGGATCTCTTCCAGTTATTTGGCCAGGTAGCTATCTTTCAAATTTCTTGACATAGATGAGTGAGCACTTTTAGCGCTGCATGTATTTGCTGAAGCATCTCAATTGGTATTCCATCAATTCCTGGAGCCTTGTTTTTCACCAATGCCTTCAGTGCAGCTTGGATTTTTTCCCTCAGTACCATTGGTTCTTGATCATATGCTTCCTCTTGAAATGGTTGAATTTCGACCAATTCTTTTTGGTACAGTGGCTCTGTGTATTTCTTCCATCTTCTCTGATGCTTCCTTCGTCATTTATTATCTTCCCCATAGAATCCTTCAATATTGCACCTCGAGACTTGAATTTTTTTCTTCAGTTCTTTCAGCTTAAGAAATGTCAGTGTGTTCTTCTCTTTTGGTTTTCTAACTCCACGTCTTTGCACATTTCATTATAATACTTTGTCTTCTTAGAGCTGCCCTTTGAAATCTTCAGTTCAGCTCTTTTACTTCATCATTTCTTCCTTTTGCTTTAGCAAATCTACATTCAAGAGCAGCTTTCAGAGTCTCTTCTGACATCCGTTTGTCTTTTGTTTTTCTTTTTAATGACCCTTTGCTTTCTTCATGTATGATGTCCTTGATGTCATCCCGTAACTCTTCTGGTCTTTGGTCATTAGTGTTCAGTGTATCACATCTATTCTTGAGATGGTCTCTAATTTCAGATGGAATATACGCAAGGTCATACTTGTTTTAATATTCTTCGGCTTCAACTTGAATTTGCATATGAGCAATTGACAATCTGTTCGACAGTCAGCCCCGGCCTTGTTTTGACTGACGATATAGAACTTTTCCATTGTCTCTTTTAACAGATGTAGTCAATTTGATTCCTGTGTTTTCTATAGGAGAGGTCCACATGCATAGTTGTCGTTTATGTTATTGGAAAAAGGTATTTCCGATGAATAAGTCATTGGTCTTGCAAAATTCTATCATATTATCTCCGGCATCATTTCTATCACACAGGCCGTATTTTCCAACTACTGATCCTTCGCCTTTGTTTCCAGCTTTCACATTCCAGTCACCGGTAATTATCAATCTATTTTGACTGCTTGTTTGATCAATTTCAGACTGCAGAAGTTCATAAAAATCTTCAGTTTTTTTCATCTTTGGCATTAGTGGTTGATGGTAAATTTGAATAATAGTCATATTAACTGGCCTTCCTTATAGACGTATGGATATTATCCTGTCACTGACAACGTGGTACTTCAAGGTAGATCTTGAAATGTTCTTTTTGACTATGAATGCGATGACTTTCTTCTTCAATTTGTCATTCCCAGCATAGTAAACCATATGATTGTCCAATTCAAAGTGGCTTATTACGGTCCATTTCAGCTCACTAATGCCTAGGATATCGATCTTCAAGTGTTCCATTTCATTTCTGACAACTTCCAATTTTCCTTGATTCATAGTTCATACATTCCACATTCCAATTACTAATGGATGTTTGTAGCTGCTCCTTTTGAGTGCCACATTAGCAAAAGAAGGTCCTGAAAGCTTGACTCCATCCATGTTATTAAGGTTGACTCTACTTTGAGGAGGCAGCTTTTCCCCAGTCTTATTTTGAGTAGGCTCATCTTCCAGCACTATATCAGACAGTGTTTTGTGGCTATCCACAGGGTTTTCACTGTCTAATTTTTTTTTTTCAGAAGTAGACTGCTATGTCCTTCTTCCTTGTCTGTCTTAGTCTGGACCCTGGGTAGTGTAAATAGTCAATGTGCTCTGCTACTAAGTGAAAAGTTGAAGGTTTGAGTCCACCCAGAGGTGCCTTGGAAAAAAAGTCCTGGTGATCTACTTCTGAAAATCAGCCACATTTCTACTCTGACACCCCTGGGATTGCCATGTGTCAGAGTGAACTGCACAGCAAATGGTTCACCAGGCCCACCCATCGTAGATTGAATCCAAGTTTTAAATCATATAGAGCTCTATTTAAAACAGTAACAGTAGAAAAACACTGAAAGTTCAGTGAATTTTTAGTAGTTTTGGAAGCTTTCTATCTAGTGATTAATGCTTGTCAAGAACTTGGTTATTTTCATAAACAATTGGATGAGACATAAAATGTCACCTCTGCTGCTGACATGTTAAAGAAAGAGAAAACTGCATCATGGAGGATTGAGACGTAATCACACTTACCAGTATAATCTCGCGGACAGACACAAGTGTATCTTCCTATCTCATTGAGGCACACAGCCTCGTTCTTGCAGGGATCTGAAACACATTCATTCACTTCCAAGTCACAGTGGCTGCCTTGATATCCGGGGACACAGAAGCAGGAATAGCCATTGATTCCATCCTGGCACAAGGCCCCATTGTGGCAAGGGCTGGAAGCACACTCATTGTGATCCATCTCACAGAAGCTTCCGGTATACCCAGCAGGGCAGATGCAGATGGGGTGAACAGGGTCGTGATGGCAAATACCTCCGTGCTGGCAGAAGTTTGCACCGCAGGAACTAATGGCAGCTTCACAGGTCACCCCACTATAGCCAGGAGGGCATTTGCACAGAAAGCCCCTCTCTCCTACGGTGTTCACACAGGAGGCATTTTGCTGACAGGGTTTAGAGAAGCAAGAATCTTTTAGGTTGTCACAGTCTTTGTCCAAATTACCGGCTGTGTCTGAACAACGGCAATTGTTGTCTTTTGAAAAATAAGTGCATGTAGAATTATTTTGGCAAGAAATTGAGAGGCACCTGGTGTCGTTTTTATTGCAAAAGGAATCTACAAGAAAATAAAAATATTAAGATTAAGCTTACACATAGTTGAGGGTAAAATTATAGAACTTCATTCTTCCCACCCCTCATGCCACCTCAAATAAACTCATTGATCAAATACATAGCTGGCTGCATTCTAATGATAAGTTTTAACTCTTCATTCGTCAAACCTTTTGACACAGTTGCTAATAAGAAGCAAAAATGGCTCGTTCAAGTTCCTTTTTCTCCATATTCTTTTTCGCAGGTATTTGTGCATTGAGCAATGGGGTGAATTGAAACAGCTGTTTAAGTATCCTATATACTCAGAGTTTTGTATTTCACATCTTCTCATGGGGGCTTAAGGAAATGCATGAAGATAAGTTACTAAATTGCCTCTGAATATGTTGTCTAAAGGAAAAATATTTAAATTCATCCTATAACTTGGTATATGGTAGGTTTAGCAACACTACCATTTTATGTTCTAAAAAGAAAAACTTAGAAAAATGCAAAAATTAAAAAATTATACAATACCTACTATTTACCAAAGGTGTATTTTTCTGCACCAAGCATGTCAGGTATTTTACACATACTGTTTTTAATCCTCACAGCAAAAAAATATTATTACTTCATTTTACAGATAACAGATAAAATCCCACTGTAAGGAAATAGATGTAGTTAATTTTGTGAGCTTCCGTTGCTCTGCAAACAGGTCTGTTCTAGGAATACATTTTTTTAATCGATTTTTTAAAATTATTGTACTTTAGATGAAGGTTTACAGAACAAACTAGCTTCTCATTAAACAATTAGTACACATATTGTTTTGTGACATTGGTTACCAACCCCATGACATGTCAACACTCTCCCTTTTAGACCTTGGGTTCCTATTACCAACTTTCCTGTCCCCTCCTGCCTTCTAGTTCTTGCCCCAGAGCTGGTGTGCCCCTTTGGTCTCGTTTTGTCTTATGGGCCCGTCCACTCCCCAGCTGAAGGGCAAACCCCAGGAGTGACTTCATTACCGAGCTAAAAGGGTATCCAGGGGCCATAGTCTTGGGAGTTTCTCCAGGCTCTGTCAGACCAGTAAGTCTGGTCTTTTTTTTGTGAGTTAGAATTTTGTTCTACATTTTTCTCCAGCTCCGTCCTGGACCCTCCAATGCAATCCCTGTCACAGCGGTTGGCAGTGCAGCCAGGCACCATCCAGCCGTACCAGACTCAGTCGGGTAGAGGCTGTGGCAGTCGTGGTCCACTAGTCCCCTGGACAAACCCTTCCCCCGTGTCCCTAGTTTTCTTCATTCTCCCTTGCTCCTGATAGGGTGAGACCAGTGCAGTATGTTCTAGGAATACATTTTTGAAATTCTATTTAGAATAATAATGTGTAGGAAATCAATAATTTGATAATATTTTTCAAATTCCTTGAATGCTTGCAAGTGTATAAAGTTGTCTCAGATACACACATTGTAATTATAGCATTCTTGTTGTTGGAATCTTGAATATTGAGAAGCTTTATGATTTGGCAACTCAGTTGTATCAGCCCACAAAACACTGCCCTTTGCATGTGGATTCATCTAGCATCAGCCCCTTACTTTTACTTGCTTTCTCACACCATTGCTCACAAGCATAATAGTAGGTAATGGTAGTAAGGAAGCTTGCAAAATGGAGACTTCGCTTTTATGACATGAGACACAAATCGGCAACTGGCAAAAGAAAATAGCATGTAAACTTTGAGAAACATATAACAATGCATCTTTCTCCTCTTTAAAATGGTGTGGCAACCAATAGCGTGGTGAGAAGATACTGGGAAGAAATGACTGGCTGGTTCATCATGCAGGAGTGAGAATAGCTTCACAATTATCTTCTATGGAGTCTATCTGGCAGCCAACAATTTTCTTTGAGTACCTGCCATGTAGAAAGTCAATATACGCTTACACATTATTTACCAGAAGGGCTGGTCTGAGAGCACACCTTTTCTCTTCCCTTTGGGAAAACAGTTAATCCGTCCTTTTACTTCAGATTTTTTTTTCAGATATTTTACATATAAAGGGGCCCTGGTGGCGCAGTGGTTAAAAGCTCGGCTGCTAACCAAAAGGTCAGCAGTTTGAATCCACCAGCCTCTCCTTGGAAACCATGTGGGGCAGTTCTGCTCTGTCCCATTGGGTTGCTATGAGTTGGAATCAACTCAATGGCAACAGAAACATGCAAGGATGTTGCAGGAGCACAGGGGATGGGGTCAGTGTATCGGGGGCACCTCACTGAAGAAGAGGTACTGGAAATGTCTTTAAAAATTAATTCCAGTGAAGAAAAGGTATTATCAGAGGACAAAATTATAGAAGCAGAAGAGGTATTGTCATTGTGAGTGATAAGAAGTGTGAGTGGGTGTGGGGCAGGATAAGAGAAGGAAAAAATGAAGAGACATTTATAGTTCAAACATTTGGCGGCATTTACGTTCTAATGTCCAAACTGAAAAATACAATCAAATATTGCAAATGCTGTCGCCCACTTCCAGGGCATATTTTGAATTCTGTGTTTTTTGTTATTGTTGTTGTTAGTGGTGGTAGTGATGGTCTGTCTTTCCTTTAAAGGCCAAGCGTCATTATTTGAGCCAGGAATTGAAACATTAGTGTGGAAAGACAGTGAAGTAAATTAGCATTTATATCTAAGGCCCTTCTGGTGCAATTTTTAAATAGAATTCTAGCAACAATTATCTAAAACTTTTTTCATTTGCATTTTACAGCTGGAAAACTAAGGTCTACAAGGGCTAAGTCATTTGCCTACGGTCATACCCGGGTGGAATTTGAACCTCTGGTCTGTCCGATTCCAAAGTTTTTTTTTTTTTTTTCACTGCATCATCCTAGATGTTAGGATATGTAGAGCTGTGTGGTGAAAGATGAAGCCAAAAGAGTGGGCAGAACTTCCTACTTAAACATGGTGGTCTGCACACCTGTTTACTGCTCCATTTCAAGACCCCATTAAAGACAGAAAGGTAATGGCAAATAAGCACATTGAAAGTGCTCAACATCATTTGTCGTTAGGGAAACAGAAATGAAAAACACAAACAGATGTCATTACACATCCACTAGAATGGCTAAAATGACAAGATTGACGATAGCAAGTGTTGACAAGAATGTGGAGAAAATGGAACTCTCATTTGTGTCCTTTCACTTGTTTATTCCTCTTCAGCCTTGCCTATACGTTATCAACTGTATCAGTCTTTTCAAAGAAGGAGCTTTGTAAAGTTTCTCTATAATGCCTTTGTTTTTTATATAGATTTTGGCTTTTACTTTGTATTTCCTTAATTTTACTTAAAAACAAATTTAGTTGCTAGTTAGTGTTTCTAATTTATTAATTTAAGACTTAACATTTCCCTCTAAGCATTCAAATAAAAATATTTCCTATTTTTATTCCAACTTCTTGTTTGACCCATGTAAAGTCTATAAAAATCAATTAAGTCAAGTTTATTAATTGGGTTGGTACAGATCTTTTATAGTACTGCTCATTCCTTCTACTATTTGTCTCAGTTACTGAGTGTGCTGTGTTAAAATCTCCCATAGCGTTTACGAATGCTTTATTTCCCCTTTTAGTTCTGACAATTTTTGCCTTTATATTCTGAAGCTATACTATTATGTGCATAGAAATTTATAATGGTTTCATCATCCTTCTGGTTTAAACAAAACAAAACAAAAAACCCACTGCTGTCGAGTCAATTCCGACTCATAGCAAGCCTGTAGGACAAAGTAGAACTGCCACATAAGGCTTCCAAGGATTGCCTGGTGGATTCAAACTGTCAACCTTTAGGTGAGCAGCCATAGCACTTAACCGACTCAGCGATTCTACTCTTAGGTTTTACCCAAGAGAAGTGAAAACAATGTACACACAAAAACTTGCCTGCAACTATTCTTAGTAGCTTTATTCATAACGGCCCAAGACTGGAAAAAACCCAAATGTTCATTAACTGATGACTACATTTTAGAATATCGATACATTGGAATACTACTCGTAATAGAAGCAAATTACTGATACACAAAACAACATGCATCAATCTCTAAAGTGTTACGCTAAGTAAAAGAGGCCAAGCATAAAGATTACATGCCGTGTAATTCCGTTTATATGAAATTCTAGAGAAGGCAAAACCATAATGATAGAAAGCAGATGAGTGGTTGCCAGGGGGTGGGGATGGGTGAAGAAAATTTACTGCAAAGGAGCGCGAAGGAATTTTCATGGACACATTCTGTATCATGATTGTAGTGGTGTCACTGACTATACATTTATCCCTTTTTAACTGGTGAGTTTTAGTGTATGCAGATTATACCTCAATAAAGCTGACAAAAAAATCGTAAAAAAAAAAGTCAAAAAGGAATTAAATAGTCATTCACTCACAAGAGCAAAGAGAAAGTAAAAGCAATAGACAGCAGTAAACCAACATATACATACATACTTACATACCCAGAAACCAAAGCTGGACTGCAGGTGGGCAAGCAGTGATAGACTTAGGAGACAAGAGTAAGTACAAACCAAGCCAACAGTGAGACAGTCTCAGAACCAAGCCATCTGATGCCATAGATCCCCCAGAGAAGCTCAGGAATTACAGATTCTGGGCTCTTCGCAAATGATGGTGCAAGCAGCATGGGAAACAGAAAAGTTGTTTGAAAATCCTTATCAGAAGCACAGGTAGATCCTCATATTCTTTCACCCTAGAGAACTGCATGCCTGCCCTTTACTCATTCAGAGCACAAGCACAGCTGCTGGTGATGTAGGAGTGGAGGGTGGGAGGACTGAACTCATAAGAGAAACGAGAACTAAGTGACATCTACACACAGAATGCTAAGACATTCTTCAATGTCCTTCCCAATTCACCTCCAAAAATGCCAGTATTTAAATTTGCACCTCGAGCAGAAAACTGATGCCTTTTGACCAGAGAGAAATACTTGCAGATATTGATGTGGGGTGTCCCTCAATGAAATGGCTTAGCCAAATAACTCTAGAATAAACCCTAAAAGGTGGCTTTGTTGTTGTTGTTAGGTGCTGTTGAGTTGGTTCTGACTCCTAGTGACCCTCTGTACAACAGAACGAAACACTGCTCGGTCCTGAGCCATCCTCACAAGCCTGAGTATGTACATGAAGAGCTTTCAAATAGCTCTTTTTAAAAAATATAGTTACATAAAATTACACATGAAGCCTATAAATGCATATATATGACAATTCCCCTTTAATTATACTTTAAATTCTATTTTAATAATGATAAGAGAACATTCCCATGTCCACTAATCAGCTTAACAGCAGTACCTCCTTCTTATGAACAGATTATATGACCATACCTTTGAGAAAAATCTCTAAGATAAAATTCAGAGACAAAAACAGAAGATTTAAAAAATATATACTTACCTTTGAAGAAACAAAGATAATGTAAGGAGTGGACAAAAATTCTTGATTATTATTTCCAAAAGATATTGCAGTGGTGAAACAAGTATAGTGGGCCATTAAGATAAACTTCCATAATATGGAAGAGATCTTTGAAATTAAAAATGCAGTAGCAGAAATAAAAAAATAAATCCAGTCAAATGACTGGAAGATAATGT